GGCTCCTACTGTGAGGCAGGCGCGGTGCCCGCTGCCCGCTGCCCAGGGGGCGCCCCTGTCCCCACGCTGCCCTGCTCTCCCAGCAGCCCGGGTTTCTCCTGGCGCGCGCCCGAGCACCTTAGGCCCGACTCTGAAGATATCGGGCTTGTTTTTAGCCGCACAGGAAGAGGAAGGGCGCCATGTGGCCTGCCCTATGGCTTTGGCCGTCCGAGCGCCTACTGTGTGCGCAGCCGTCTCCAAGTCCCTTCTGGTTTTTTGTCGGGGCTTTGCAGCGGCCTGCAGCCCCAGGGATGTGTGGGGGCCTCAGGCGCTGCTGGGACGTCTCCCTGCCCTCCCATCCCCTCCCCTCCACCCCCTCCCCCCCGCCCTACCGCGGGGTCTAAGTTCGCTAGCTGGGGCAAGGGGAAGTTCTGGGACGGTTACATGCGGCGACGCTCCCGCGCCTCCTTGTGCTCAGCGCTGACCTGGGATGCAGACCGCAGAAGTTTGGGCCGAGCCGGGCTCTGCCTCATGCAAGCTGCCTGAAGGCACGTGGCTTCCCTTTGAGCCTCCGTTTCTGTATCTGTTAAACGGGGCTGGACAGGAAGAAACCTCGCCATCCTTCACTGTGAGGCTGTAACTTTCCTGGCCCAGAGTCGTGGCTCCGTTAGTGCCGTTCCTGGCACTTCCTGGCGGGCACGCAGATCAGGGGCACTGACCCCGCTTAGACTTCAGGTGCACAGAAAGTTTGGTCCTTGAGATGGAGGGGAAATAAGAACAGGAACACCGAATCAGGTGGGCTGGATTTTCTGATCGGGTATAATGAGAGCTTAAGTTCTCAGGAACACTGCCCACCTCCTGTGGGTGGGTGCTCCCCTTTTGCCCAGGCTGTGGGTCTTTGTCTTGCTGCACAGTCAGAGCACGCTGTTGAGAAATGTTGAATATATTTGGTCACCTGCCCAGTTTCCTGGTGTGGGAATCAGATCCTTGGAACCCAAACTGAGAGCCCCTCTCCCTGCTAGTGGAGGGGGCCTGGTCTCCTGGAAGACCAGCCTCAGGGAGGAGAGTCAGGGCCTCCAGGTTAAGACCCTTGCCAGTGACCAGTGATTTAATCAGGAGGATCCCTGCAGGGGGAGGGTTGGGGACTCCAGAGGGTGGTGTGGAAACCCCTCACCCCTTCCCGCCCGGCTTGCCCTGTGCACCGGGTCACCCGTGTCCTTCATAACATCCTTTGTAATGGGGAGATGTGTTTCCCGGAGTTCTGTGAGCTGCTCCAGCCAACCAAGGATTGTGGGAACCCTGAGGTGAACCCCTCAGTCAGAAGCATGGGTGAGAACTGGGGTTTGCCATTGGCATCGGGAGTGGGGACGGTCCTGTGGGGCTGAGCCCTCGTGCCCTCTGTGGGAGGTGACACTCCGGATAGGTGGTGTCAGGATTGGATGGACTGGATCGGCGGACGCCCAGCTGGTATCTGCTGCAGAACTGCTTGCTTGCTTGGCGTGTGGGGAGCCCCCACCCCTGCACATCTGGTGTTAGTTGCTGGTTGTGAGCATGTAGAAGAACAGGATAGCTGGACCAGGGAGCGGGAGCCCGACAGATCCGCCGGAGAGCCAGGAGCCGGCACTCCTTTCCCCGGGTTCTTGGATGTGGCTGCGTGGACTACATCTCCCGTCCCCTCCCCAGAGCAGCCAACTGCTTTTCTGTTCCTTTTTCAATTCACGAGAGCACATGTACATGCGTGAGGGAGTGAGAGACGGGGCAGGGACTCGTCTTACCGCGGCCCCTTCCCACAGCCCTCAGCCTCTCAGGATCTGGGTGCATGTTTCCAGGCCGGCCGAGGATCTGAACCCGTGGTTGGCTGTGTGGCTTCCAGCACTGCAGTTCTGTGCCACCGGGGCTGGATCCCACTCCCCTGTTTTGTTGTTTATTTTGCTCTTTACCTTTTTTTAAAAAAAGTAATAATAAATTTTGCAGGTGAGGGAACAGCAGTTGGCATAATGGCTGTGTTGCTGGACTCCCATGTAGCCGATCGCGGTTCGAGTCCTGGGCCTGGTGGCTTAAACGCAGGCCGGGCACGTGTGTGTGCGTGCATGCCCGCGTGCCCAAGATCCCGAGAGGAGAATGGAGGAGAAGGGATTGTGGTGTGACCATCCCCCCTGGGGGGTGATTTCTCGCTTTCTGTCTCTATGTCTCTCTCTGTCTGTCTGGCGAGCGCACGCGCCCTGCAGTGAAAATCTCTCAAAAATTTTTTCTTTGGAGGTGAGACTCAACCAGTATATAAGACTTTGCTTTCTTCTCGGTGAAGACCTGGAAAGGGTGAATTGCTGTGTGGTTGTCCCATCATGAACCCGCCCAGAGTCGAGGTTTTGCAGGTTTCCTGTCTAGCCACTCTGGGTATGGCTGGGGCGGGGGCCCCTGCAGCGGGGTCCCTGAACACGTTATTTTGGGCGCCGCTAGACAAGTTCTCCTGTACATAGGAGTGAAATTGCCGAGTCAGAGGGTCTGCGCAGGTGTTGTTTTTTTGTTTTTCGATGAAGGAAAACCAGCTTTATTGCAAAGTGCAAAGCAAGGAGAGTGGGCAGCTCATGCTGAAAAACCTAGTCTCTCTGAGATGCTCCCCATATGCGTTTTTAAGGGCAAAATTAGGGGCAGAGGTCCCAGGCGTGTGATCAGTTCAGAGATTGGTTCAAGAGGACAGGATCGTCTCGTGGGCATTCTTGATTGGGGACCTTAGATCATCAAATTTCTGTTGGGGTTTCTGGAGCCATTCAGCCTGGGGTCTTTGAGCTCACAGCCGGCAGTCTCCCCCCGACGTCCACCACGTCCAGGCCAATGTCCTGCCTCCTTCCCCACAAACCCCAAATCGCCGTGGGCCAACGGCACCTGGACGTCAGCCAGTCACCCAGGACTGGCCCTGAGACAAGGTGCTCAGGCAGCTGCAGGAGGAGTCCCGAGGGCGGCCATGGGCCAAGGGTCGCTGTACCTGGAGGAGACAGTACCTGAGTCCCATCCGGGCCGCCAATCAACTGTTACTGAACTCGGATCAGGTTGGCTCGCCCAAGTGCTGTAAAACCAAGCCATAGGGACATGTGTGAGGAAGGCAAGCCCAGCGTTAGCCAGAGCAAGGAGAGCGGGCGGCTCGTGCTGAACACCCAGTATCTCTCTCTCTCTCATTTTAATTTGCTAAAAGGCGTGTGCTCTCAGTGGAGAGAGACAGAGATAGAGGGAGGGAAGATGAAAAATACCCTTCATGGGGTGTGGTCTCTCTTTGCCTTTCAGGATTCTGGGCACACGTACACACGTGCCTAGCGTGCCGTTGGCTATGTGGGACTCAACCACATTGACCCACATGCCATGTGCCACCACCTGGCTGATAAATGGTAGCTTTTATTTTGGTCTTTTTTAGGTGTGGGCTCGCAGGAGAGACAGAGACACAGGGAAAGTAAGAAATCATCCCCCAGGGGCAATGGTCACACCACAATCCCTTCTCCCATTTTCCCGTGGGATTTTGGGCATGCGTGCACACGTGCCCGGTGTGAATTTCAAGCTGCTGGATCTGGAACTTGAACCAAGGTTGGCCATGTTGGAGTCCAGTGCCTTAACCCCTATACCATCTGCTGGCCCCTTAAATGGTAACTTTTAAAAACAATTTTTTGAGAGAGCGAAAAAAAAGGGTGTGGGCATTTCCACGCCGTGTTGCCTTGGCCAGCCTTGTACTCCTGCTGCGCCCAGCCCCCGTGTCACTGAGATGACAGCCAGGCGTCACCTGCCCTGTAGGCCTCCTGTGGTCCCAGCCTGTAGGGCACAGCGTGCACTGTCCAGGGCCACCCTTCGCAGTGCCGTTCTGTATCAAACAATCGCTCTTTTCATTTATTCAGAAAACACTGGCGTTCTTATTTCTGGGCACGGTCCTTTGTCTCCTGTGCTATTTTTCTGTTGAGCTGTTGGTCTTTTGATTTGAAAGAGGCCTGCATTTTTTGCTGTTTGCAAGAAGATATTATGAACAAAATAACTGACGCTTTCTGGCCCTTTTTATTTTTTCTAAAGGATTATTTTTTTAATTTAACTTCATTTATTTATATACTTATTTTAATTTGACCAGAGAAGGACAGAGCAAGAGCAAGAGAGGGGGAGAGAGAGGGAAAGTGAGAAAGAAGCCGCCAGGTCCAGGACTCGAGCCGCGGTCGGCCACATGGGAGTCCTGCCCCTTAACCACCATGCCCCTGCCGCCCACTGGTCCTTTACTGAAGTCTGACCTTGCACCTCAAGAGAGGTGCGCTATTTGAAGTGTGCGAGTTGACGTGTGCATGTACCTGTGAGAACATCACAGCCCAATCCAAACCGAGTCCTTGCTTGTTTGCTGCTGCTTTCTCGCTTTCTTTATTTTATTGGAGAGGTTTTCGCTATAGGGCACGTGCGCTCGCCAGAAAGACAGAGACAGAGAGACAGAAAGCGAGAAATCACCCCCCAGGGGGGATGGCCACACCGCAATCCCTTCTCCTCCATTCTCCTCTCGGGATCCTGGGCACGCACGCACACGGCCCAGCATGAGTTTAAGCCACAGATCCCGGATTCAGCCATGGTCAACTACGTGGGAGTCCAGTGACATAGCCATTACTAACTGCTGGTTCCCCTCCTCTAACGATTTTTAATTCTCTAACTTGGTATTGAAAAATTTCAAACTGCTAAAAGTGGAGAGGATAAGGGCAGCTGTAACCGTGCCCAGGTTCACCACTCACTCCTTTTCCATAACCGTGCCCAGGTTCACCACTCACTCCTTTTCCAGCGGGTTTGTCTCTGTCTCTACAGACATGCTGCACGCGCGACCAGCAGATGGCGTAATGGTCACGTCACTGGACTCCAGACCCGCTGGCTTGAAGCTCAAGTCTGGGTGTGTGTGTGCCCAAAATCCCGAGAGGAGAATGGAGGAGGGATCGCGGAGTGGCCGTCCCCCCTGGGGATGATGTCTCACTTTCTGTCTCTGTCTCTCCAGTGAGTGCACGCAGCCTGTGGCGTGTGATAGATATATATCTAGATCTTACACTTTTCTCTTTTTTGCCGAACCATTCAAGTTTGCAGACACCATGACACTCTGTCCCCCAGATCCACACGACCACTGGTCCCAGAAACAACAGTTAGTGCAGCGGTATTTAGTCACAGACAGTCCACTTTTGAATTTCCTTCATAGCAGTGTTTAGATTTTTGCCGTAGGGCACGCACACTTGTCAGAGGGAGAGAGACAGAGAGACAGAGAGTGAGAAATGTCCCTCTAGAGCATAAGGCTATAAACAGTCCCTTTTCCTCCAGTCTCCTGGGATTCTGGGCACACGTGCATGGTGTGATTTTTAAAGTGCTGGTTCCAGAGCTTGAGCCACAGAGTCAGCCATGTGGAATCCAGTGCCTTAACTGCCATGTCACCTGCTGGCCCTTCTTAGTGTTTTTTTAAAAATGCAGCATCCCAGGACCAGCAGTTAGTGTAATGGCTATGTCGCTGGACTCCCACGTGGTCGACCACGGTTCGAGTCCCGGACCCGGTGACTTAAACTCACGCCGGGCGCGTGTGCGTGCATGCCCAAGATCCCGAGGGGAGAATGGAGGAGAAGGGATTCCGGTGTGGCTATCCCCCCAGGGGGTGATTTCTTGCTTTCTGTCTGTCTGTCTCTCTCTCTCTCTCTGTTTGAGTACCCGCGCCCCATAGAAAAAAAAAAAAAAAAAAAAAAGTAGCATCCCAGGAAACATTGCTGGTTGTATCTCTTTTCACACCTCTTTAGTCAAGAGTTCTTTCACTTTCTTTCTTTTTTTTAAAGCATTTATTTATTAATTTTTTAGAGAGAGATATTTTTGCTATAGGATGTATGCACTTGTTGGAGAGACAGAGACAGAGAGACAGAAAGTGAGAAATCACCCTCCAGGGGTGCAGTCCCTTCTCCATTCTTCTCTTAGGATCTTACACACACTGCTGGCATGAGTTTCAAGCCGTTTCAAGCTGTTGGGTCCAGGACTCGAACTGCAGTCGACTACATGGGAGTCCAGCGACATAGCCATTACGCCATCTGTGTCCTCCAGGGCACATCTGCCCACTTTCTTTCTTTCTTTTTTTTTAAGAATTATTTTATTTAACTTTATTTATTTATACTTATTTATTTTAATTTGACCAGAGAGGCGGGGAGAGAGAGAGAAGGAGGGAGGGAAAGTGAGAAGCAAGCCACCAGGTCTGGGACTTGAACCATGGTTGGCCCTGTGGGCGTTCACTGCCCTTAACTACCACGCCACCTGCTGGTCCCGAGAGTTCTTTCACTTTCTATGAGGCTGGGAGCTTTACAATGATTTTTTCTTCCTTCACGAGCATGGGTGATGCGTGTTCAGACGGAGAGACAGAGAGAGGGGCACCCCATAGGGTCTGGTCCCCCGCCCAGCAGGTCCTGAGCTCCGTGACTGCCACGTGGGAGCTGAGCAACACCATCTGGCTGTGTCACAGAGCTGACGGGACTTTGTGACCCGGCTTCTGGGAGAGTCCAGACCGTTCGTCTTCTCTGGCGGGTAGTAGCTTCACAGAGCTCCAGGCAGACGCCATGCCATCCGTCCTCGGCAAGTCCGGTGGCTCTCAGTGTCACCTGTCGCCTCTGGACTTTCAGCATGCTGAGAGCAAGCCGCCTCCTTGAGCCGTTCTCCAGCCCACGCCACGCCCTGGGCCACCCCAAATCTGCTTTCTGTCTGCATCTGCTTTTTCTGGACGTCACCTACGAGTGCTGCATGTGCTGGGGGCCTCGCTCAGCCTCGCACGCCCAGTCCCTGCCCTGCGGCCGGGTCAGAGCCCCGTCCCCGCGCTGTGGCCGGGTCAGGACTTCATTCTGTTTCGTGGCCTTTCATTATCAGCTGGCGGGCCTTTGGGTTGTTGGTACGTTCTGTCTATTAGGAATAAGGCTGGGTTGGCAGGTGGCTTGGTGGTTAAGGTGTTGGACTCCCACATGGCAGACTGAGGTTCAAGTCAACCTAGCGGCTTGCTTTCTTGCTTTCCCTTTTCTTTCTCTGGTCACATTTAAAAAAAAAAAGATAATAAATTAAATAATAATTCTAAGATAAAAAAGAATAAGGTTGCTCTGAACACCACGGACAGGTTTTCGTGTGGACGTAGGTTTTCGGCGTTTGGGGGTGCGTACTGGGCGTGCAATTGTGGGCTCATACCGAAACCTGATTCCGTCCTGAGGGCCCGCCGGGCTGTTTTCCAAGCAGCTGTTGTGAACTTTGCCACCCCGGTGTGTGAGGGCTCCTTTCTCCCCGTCCTCGCCCGCGCTTGTCTTGGTCACGGCCGTCCTGGGAGTGAAGTGCCGACAGCCCAGTTGTGAAATGCCCAGGGCGTCTCCACTGGTTCCAGGGCTGGCTCAGGCGCGCGTCACGGCCTGCAGGGGACGCTGTGTCCTCGCGTGCCAGCACATCCGGCGTGTGGGGCCCGCTGGTGCCATTGCTTGTCCAGCAGGTGACCTTGATTTGGAGCTCGGTTGAAGGGGGACAGACCCTCCGCTTCACAGTGCTTCTCCCTTTGGTGATTCATTCACGCGCTGGGCGCTGTTCCAGTGTTTTCCGTTCACCTTACCTTTGCCTACTGCACGTTCAGGTGCTTGGGAACTTTGACCTCGGCCCCCTCTGGCCTGCTCAAGGCATCTCTGCCCTTACAGCCTGGTTTCCATGGGGCCAGGTGGTGTGCACCAGGGGGTTTCAGGTGAAGAGAGATCTGGACACAGGAAGGCCATCTCACCTGAGGCTCAGCATTGGGTGTCCTGGCCTCCCTGCTTGCCAGAGGGCCATGCAGTCCTGGGCTTGAGCGATCTCGTCCCGCCCACGTGACGGCTGGGCCCTGAGCCTCCAAGGCCCGAGGCTTCTGTAGCTTTCCTGAGCCTGGGTGAGCAATCTGAAAATCTCCAACACCCACAGAGGAAGGGGCAGGTGCAGGGGACCCCATACCTCTCACTCCACCTTCTGCGTTCTGATCCCTGACGTCCGGGTTGCATCTATCCTATGTGGAACATTTTCTTTGGACTGGAATAGTATTTTGTTTATTTGAGGTTTATTTATTTTAGGTTTTTGCCTTAAGGCAGGGGAGTGCTCACCAGAGACAGACAGTGAGAGGGAAAGTGAGAAATCCCCCCCAGAGGGGATGGCTATGCCACAATCCCTCTTGGGATTTTGGGCATGCACGAACACACACCTGGTGTGATTTTCAAGCCACCGGGCCCAGAACTCGAATCGCGTGGTCAGCCATGTGGGAGTATCCAGCACCTTAACCACCACACCACCTGCTGGTCCCCGCTAGTCCCTTTTTTAAAAAAGTTTGCCACGGGGCTAATGCATTCACCTGAGAGAGACAGAGAGAGAAGACACCCGGGAGAACTCTTTGTACCACAGTCCCTTCTCCAATCTCCTCTTGCACACATGTGCCCAGTGCGTTTTTCAAGCTGCGGGTTTGGGACTTGAACTGCACAGTTGGTTGTTTGGGATCCAGCCGCCTTAACCACCAGGCCACCTGCTGGCCAGGAGTCTGCATCTCTAAGCAGCTCCAAGCCGATGATGATGGAGCCCAGAAGACCTCTCCAGGGCTGTGACTCGGTTCTATGCTGGTTTTCTGCGGGTTCTATGCTGGTTTTCTGCGGGTTCTCCTTCCAAAGCCCCCACCCACTCACCCCAGCCGAGGGGCAGCCCTCCTGTGCCGCGTCTGTGCTTCCTCCGGGCACCCCGCCTGCTTTTGTGCTGTTTTCTTGTCTCTCTGTGAACCCTTCTGCTTTTGAGCCTTACTGAGATGTAGTTCACACAGCACACAGTTCCTCCGCCCGAGTGCGCAGCCTGGTGGTTGGTCCAGATGCAGATGTGTGCCAGGATCACAGCTGGTTACTACGGCTTTAGGACTGTTTTGTTTTGTTTTAGAGATTTTTGCTACAGAGCGTGTGCGCTCGTCAGAGAGACGAGAGCCAGAAAGCGAAAAATCACTCCCCAGGGGGTTGACCACGCTGCAGTCTCTTCTCCATTCTCCTCTCGGGATCTTGGGCACACACGCACATGCACTTGGCGTGAGTTTCAAGCCACCAGGTCTGGGACTCGAACCACAGTCATCCATGGGGGAGTCCAATGACTTAACCATTATGCTACCTGCTGGTCCCAATTTTAGGGCATTTTTACAACCTCAAACAGAAATCCTGGGTCAGCCCCATAGTACGACAGTTAAACTCTGTTCATAGGGAGCCGACTCCCACTTGACTGACCACAGTTCAAACCTCACCTCCGGTGCCTTGAAAAACTCACCAGGTGGGACCAGCAGTTAGTGTAATGGCTATGTTGCTGCACTCCAGGTAGCCAACCACAGTTCGAGTCCCGGACCCAGTGGCTTAAACTCACGCTGGGCGCATGTGCATGCGTGCCCAAGATCCCGAGAGGAGGAAGATCCCGAGAGGAGAATGGAGGAGAAGGAATTACGGCGTGGCCATCCCCTCCGGGGGATGATTTCTCGCTTTCTGTCTCCGTCTCTGTCTTTCTGGTGCACGCACGCTCCTTATAGCAAAAACCTCTCAAAAAAAAGAAGAAAAAAACTCACCAGGCGTAGATGCATGTGCCCCAGATCCTGCCAGGGTGGAGACATGGGGGAGAAAGACTGCGGCATGCCCGTCCCGCTGGGGGCTCTGCTCTCCCCTCCTCTTCTCCCCCCATAATGCTCAGACAATTAAAAAACAAAGGAATCCTGACCTTTAGCTGTGACCCTGCCCCCAGCCCCATGCCCACTAGCCTCCCCTCTGTCTCTGTGGACTTGTCTATTCTGGACACGCCATGCCAGCAGGGTCAGCAGACGGGGACTTCTGTATTTGGCTGCTTCTTTAGTGTCATATTTTAGGGTTCGTCCAGGTGGTAGCACGAATCAGGGCTTCGCCCCTTTCTCGGGGCAGGTACACCCACCGTGTGGACAGCCCATGTCCTGCTCGTCCGTCGGTCCATCGGTGTCTGCAGGGTCCCAGGAGTGCAGAGCTCGGAGTGCGGCAAGCGCTCACGGCCACTGGCCCGCTGGCCTGGGCAGGTGTGGCTCAGCAGCCCGGCAGTGACCGTTTACTTGTTTCTGCAGTTCCTGACCAGGCTGACCGAGAGGTTCGTGCTGGGCGTGGACCTGTTCGTGGAGACGCTGTGGAAGGTTTGGACGGAACTCTTGGACGTCCTGGGGCTGGACGGTAGGTGCTGGCGTCCTCGACCTGCGCATGGTCTTACACCGGCGCGCCAGGAACTGTGTGGGCGGGTTAGAGGAGTCACTGCCTTGACCACCGCGGCGCCTGCTGGCCCTGAACTCTTAGAAAACCTTTTTTTTCTCAAGAGAGATTTTTGCTATAGGGTGCTCGTACTTGCTGGAGAGACAGAGAGACAGAAAGCGAGCAATCACCCCCCAGGGGACATGGCACGCCACAGTCCCTTCTCCATTGTCCTCTCAGTGTTGGGCAGACACACACACGCACACACGTGTCCAGCATGGGGTTTTTTAAATAATTATTTTATTATTTATTTATTTATTTTAATTTGACAAGAGAGAGACAGAGAGAGAGAGAAAGCGCGAGCCGTGACACCCCTCCTGTCCTTCGGCAGGACGGTTCCGTGCCAGTGCAGACGGACACTCCTTAGCCTGAGCTGGCGAGCGGAGACCCGGCCAGCCCCGTGTGTGGTTCCACATTATCTGCTAGCCCCAACACAGCAGAGAAAGGGGGACCAGCAGATGGTGTAGCAGGTACATTGCTGGACTCTCACATGACTGACCATGGTTCAAGTCTGAGACCCGGTGGTTTGAAACCCACGCCGGGCGTGTGTCTGTATGTGTGTGTGTGTGTGTGTGTGTGTGCCCAAGACCCCATGAGGAGAGTGGAGGAGAGCGCGTTGTGGCATTGC